GGCTGGACCCTGGGTCTGAGGGAGGAGGCTGGGGCGGGGCTGGACCCTGGGTGTGAGGGAGGAGGCTGGGGCTGGACCCCTGGGTCCTGGGAAGGGGCTGGGGGCATGTTGTCTGCTTCCCTCTCTCGCCCACTGCCAGGTGCATAGGAAGACCCTGAACCCCGTCTTCAACGAGACGTTTCAGTTCTCGGTGCCCCTGGCCGAGCTGGCGCAGCGTAAGCTGCACTTCAGCGTCTATGACTTTGACCGCTTCTCGCGGCACGACCTCATCGGCCAGGTGGTGCTAGACAACCTCCTGGAGCTGGCCGAGCAGCCCCCCGACCGCCCGCTCTGGAGGGACATCGTGGAGGGCGGCTCGGTCAGTAGCACCTGCGTCCCACCGGCCCTCGGCTGACTTCCCCCTCCCCAGCCTGAGACACTGGTTTTGTGCCCTCCTGGCCCCGGGACTTCCTCACTTCTTGTCCCTGGGGTTTGTGGTTTGGTTGTTTTAATGGGTCGTGACACAGCAATGGGCCTCTCATCCCCGACCCCGACTCTGTCAGACGTTAGCATCCGCCTGGATCCCAGATTCCCGGGCTTCAGGCCCCCTCCCCACCCACCTGATGATGTCACCGTGCAACCCTGTGACATCTGCCCTCCGACCCCAGGTTTCTGACTCCCCAGCTTCCTTCACCTCCCACCTCCTGACCTTCCAGTTGCCAGACCTCCGAAGCCGCAGGCCTCTCTGATCTCGGGACTACTCCACTTTTCAAACCCATGACCTTCCAACTCCCCCCCTCCCGCCCGTCCTGTTCTGCCCAGGGTTTCTTCCTGCCCCCTCTCCTGAGTCCCGACAGCCTGATGGCCCAGGCCTTAAGCCTGCTGGGATCCCCAGTCCCCCATGCCTCCCAGGGCCCGGATGGTGGTGCCCACAGGCTCTCTCCCAGGGCGCCCTCCTCCTTTCTTACAAACCCACCCTCTGGCAGCTCATCTGTGGGACCCCAGAGTCAGCCCCAGGCCTGCTCCCCGGGATACCCACCTCCCGGTTCTCTGTCTCTGGGAGCCGTGGACGGGCAGCAAGGCCTGTTCGCACACCAGGACAGGGCTGTTTCCCTGTCTGGCCAGTGGCACACTGGGTGCCTACRGCTCTTGCCACGGGCCCCCACGGCCTCTCCCTGGCCATTGCCCTGTCCTGCAAGCCCAGCCTCTGGACCTAAGCGCCTAGTGCCAGGGACCCTGCCTGCCGTCTTCCCATCTGTCACACCTCTGCTCTCTGAGGCTGCCTCAGCAGCCCCACAGGCCCCCTCTCTTGTCCCCTTGTGCCCTTCCCCTCCCATCTGCCCCCGGCTCATCCACTCATCCCTCCTCCCCCAGCCTGTCCTCGGGAGCTCAGGTCTGGGYGGACACAGCTGGGGTCAGGGGAGGTGACAGGAGGCAGGGAGGGAAGGGTATTCTGAGCCCAGGGAGCAGCCTGGACCAGGGCCTGAGGTGATGGGGGAGGGGTGGGACRCAGGGCCCTGGCAGGCTGCAGGGCTGCCCAACGCCGTGTGGTTCCTGGCCAGCCCCGGCCACTGCTCCATCTGTGTCAGGGACAGGGGGTCTGTCTCCCTTGAAGCCTCGCTGCGACTGGGGAAGCGGTTCAGTGATGCCACCTGTCCTGCAAGCTCCAGGGTCCCCTCCTACTGCCCTGAGCAGATGATTGGCCTCTGTGTCCCCAAAACACTGGCCYCTAACACCGTCGGTGATGACCTAGACCTGGGCCCCAGGTCTCTCTCTGCATGTTGGGGACCCAGTCGCTGCTCCCCCTCCTCCCCTTCATACCCCTAGGGTTCCCACGCCCCTTCCCACCCAGTCCCCCTCTTGCTCTGGTCTCTGCTCCCTCACAGGACCCCGGCCCTGTCTCTCCCTCCTCCACTGGGTCTCTGTCTCCCTCCTCGTCTCTGTCCT